CAAATTATTAAAAAATCATAGTTAGGTAGTATTAGTGTTCTGTCCAGGTTTACTTTTGATCTTATATTTTTTATGTTAGTACTATTGGCACTTATTTATTCTCAGTTTCTTCTTTGTTAAAATTATTCATAAAATAAAATAAGTTTGAATATTAAAAATTAAAAGGAACGTATGAAGTGGGCATTATCAGGGCGAAACACGTGTCCGCTCAAATAAAATTATTTGTGGTAATTAGGGGTGAGTTTTCCTTTTAATTTTTAATTAATATTTACCACAGTCTCCTCTTTCTACTTTAAGTTTTGAATAGTACTCCATATTGGGGCTTAATGGCCATGCTCTGAGATTGATTCCTATCATTCGGCAAAAATATTGATAGAGTCGTTGTAATCATACCAAGTATCAGTGCAGTCCTATACCAATACCCTTCCGGTATATTAATAAAAGTTTAAGTTCTTAGTTTACGTATCTATCAAGTATGTAAGCTACGTCGTTTAGTTATATAGTTTGTTATGGAGATACCTTTGTTAAGCCTTGTTAAACATTTAAAGCACTACTGTTAGCAGCAAGTATCACTAGATGGCGATATACTGCCCTTACATTATATTAGGGATGAATAGTAATTGAAATTTTCACAAAAAATATGAGACCCATTACTTTAGGGATAGTTCGCCCATGCTTATGTTAATTAATTGTCAAAGTATTACTCAAAACTCAATTAATTAATGTCATGTCGATGTTATTTTTTAGTACTGAATTGGTATTTTCACTTTTCTTGAATGTTTTCTTGATTTCGTAGGGTTTGACAGGCGGGACGTTATTGTATGTAACAGTTAGTGAAATATTACCCCGAGAAAGGGCAAGGTGGCATAAAGAAAACACTCAACGAACGGCTGGTCTGATACAGTTTTTGTCTGTGGCGACTGGGTTCACGATTATGACTCTTTTAACAAAGTACTTAGGTATGTATTTTATTCATAAACTTTTAAAAAAATTGGTATGTTGGTAACTATTTTTTTCAGAAAATTAATTTGTATTTAATAAGTTAAATACTTTTTCTTGTCCTTTTTAATGGAAATAAGTAGGTGATAACGAAAAACGTTTTTATAACAACATGACGTGATGTGGACAATAAGTTTTTGTTATAATGGATTTTATTACTATTTAATTAAGAGATAACATTTTATAATGCGTTACATAAAAAATAAATGGTTTATATTTCTTTAAAGAATGTTTGTATCAAAATCTTTCATATTAAATTTTAATTCGCAACTCATGTCGGATAAAAAAAAGTATTTAGCGGTTGACATTATAATTTATGTATGTGGAAATCAGAGCTGATAAGATGAATAAGATTTATGATTCATTGCAACACCAAATGTTATAGAAACCTGTTCACCCTATCAGCTGTTACTTCTTCATATTACAATTAAAAAGGAAAATGGTATGGATACATAAATAGTAAAATATTTAAACAAAAATCGTTTTGTGACAATAATAATTGAAGAAATCATTCGCTTTCTGGATACGTTAATTGTATAATTTCGGATGCATAATCTGCAAGGGCAGCAATTATTGAGTTTGGAAATGTAGAAACTGGTGTGGGCAAAACACTACCATCAACTATGCGCAGATTCTTAATACTGTTCACCCTGTAAACAAAAACGAAAGTTCTTGTAAATACTAGGAGAAAATTATTCCTCACAGGATAGTTCAATATGTTTTCCTCTAAATGATTTTATTACCTACCTAAAAAAGCTATCAAGTACAGCATTTGAATCGTTTTGGCCCCCCATTGCACACGTTCCAGCAGGATGATACCAAGTCATTGAACAAAATCGTATTAAACATTCCAAGAAATTTTCTGTATTGTTTCCTTGTTCATCCCTCCACTGACTGCATTCTTCAATATACGGCCAGTGGATTTTGGCCCCAATTTTTTGAAATGGTTTCGTATCAATTAGTTTCTTCAACACTTTTACAGCTGAATAAAAAATATTTTTAATAACTTGACGCTTTATACATACTATCGGAATATTATAAAAATATAAAATAATTTTTAGGTGGAAGTTTTTGAATATGCATGCCAAAAGAGGTACCTAAGAAGGAACCTTATGGTAAGAATTTTTTCTATTGTGTGCCACGTATCGTCGTAGCATTGAGATTTGATATGTTTGATAATATTTCTTTCTATTTTAATTGTGAAAGGGTCTATTGTAGGGTATTGGCAATGTAGGGTATTGGCAATGTAGGGAACTCCCCAACCGAAAATACGAACTTAAGTTTTCTAATGTTTCTAACCTTTTTTTGTACACTCGATGTCATATTTATGTTCCAAATAATTCGGATTAATTATTGGGGCGGTCTTATAATTATTCGATTTCAGTATGATGTAGCCCCTACTTTTCGGTTGGGCACAGGTTGTCAAGAATACAAAACCCTCTTTAGAAAAATCATTACTGAAGGGAAACATTTTCTGAAAAATCTTAAACAATATGTCCAGTTATTTGCCTAATTACATATATTTATTGAGGCACCCAATTATTTACCTCAGATTTATAATTTCCTATTAATTTGAAAATATGTTCGTTCGTCGATCCAAAAGCAGATAAAATTATGCTAAAATTAGAGGGTGCATAAGCTACTCCAGCTATTGGTGACTTTGCGAGAACGCCTATAATAGAATATAAGATGTACCACTCGCAATAACGTGCAAGTACAGAACGTTTCTTTAATTTAAACTGTTTTCTACAAATAATATTTTTTAATAAACACATTGTAATTTCATTAAAATAAGGCCTATAAATAATATCTTAAATACGTAAACGTTGCCTCTTGTCGAAGCTTTTTCAAAATTTATTATAAAAAGAGGGAGAATGAAACTCGGATTATTGAGAAGAAATTTCAGCTGCGGGAAAGAAAAGGATAGAATTCTTTGAGATTTGGTGTTATAAAACTAGGTTTTTATCTTTTTCTTTTTCTTAGGAAATTATAAAGAAACGCGCTGGTGTGTGGCCAATATTTTATGATAAATCAAACTACTTCTTCCCCCTGCCCCCGGCCATTTTTATTGCTCCACTGTGACGTAGTGTCAGCCATCATTCTTTTCTAATTGTTGCAGTTGTCGGTCATCATTTTTTTCAATTGTTGATTCAATACATGTATAGTAATCAATGATTAAAATTTAAAGGAATTGTTTGTAAATAGGTATGCAACATATAGTACACTTCAGCATAAGAAATTGCTGATACTAACCACGTAATACTATGCCCTGTGCTGATAGCACTCATAATTTCTGGTATATATAATATTAGAGACTCTTACTTACCCTTTTTATAAAATAGATAATTGAAAATTTCCTTAAAACTTAAAATTTTGCTGAGACTTAACGAAATCGGTTTCTCTATGCTTACATAAAGTGGAAAATTGAAATGATCGTGTAAATTTTTCCCAACCCCTTTTAAATCTTCCACAACATTTATATTTAACTTTTGTAAAAGTTTCTTGTCTCCAACTCCCGATAACATTAACAATTTAGGCGAATTAATTGAACCAGCAGCTAAAATAATTTCTTTAGCTGTGTAAGTTCTTATTAACCCCCCTGAAACACTTTCAATTCCAAATGCACTTTTGTTTGAAATTAATACCTTAAATAAATATATAATTAACGTAGAAAATCCTTTTAAATATAATGAATGAAATTACCTTAGTCACTTCTGTACTGCATATGACATGTAAATTTGGTCTTTTAAGGGCACCTTTCAGGTGACTATCGTAAGAAGTCCATCTGTTCCCTTTATAAATGGTGCTAAAACTTTTACAAAATGTTAAACTTAATGCTCCACATTCTTTAACTGCTTTTTCTAATACTATTCCTAAACTCCATTTCATTTCCTCTGTAAGAATTTGATTTGCTCGCTAAAACAAATGAGAATCTTAACAATAAATAATAGACGTTATTCAAATGTATATATTGTTTTGCTAAATTTGAGAACTCAACCAAAAAAAAAATTGAAAATAATAGAAAAGAAATCAATCAATATGATACTTACTTTAATATTGTGCGAGGTATTATAAAGGTTGTTGTAAAATTTTGGTAAGTACTTTTTGATATCTTTTATGCCCAATTTTTCCCATTTTTCTAAATCTTCTGTTTCTAAATATCCGTGTACCATGAAATTGATTTGAGATGTGCCTCCAAATCCTTTACCTCTTGGTATCTTTTGTTTCTAAGATTTAAATTTGCCACGCATTTGAAAATTTTAAAATTAATTGAAAGGGTTAAGTAATAAATATAAATTAAAAATAAATATTTACTATTGACCTTGTCAATCATTCCCTTAGAAGACCATTTTTGAGGGGTTGATAGGTAACCCCAATCAAACGAAGTACCTTGTAGCAATGGTGAAAGGGGCGGGATCTTTGAAATTCTATTAAATTCTGATCCTGCTTCTATCAAAAGAACTGTACGATTAGAATTTTCACTAAGTTTGGCCGCTAAAATACATCCAGCTGTGCCTGCACCAACTTTAAAAGTCGTAAATCAAGAAACAGCATAAAAAAGTATAATTTGTAAAAGTCTTACCGATTATGTAGTCATACTTATCATTTAATGAATTAGAATTGTGACATATTTTACTCCTGCATTGAATATAATAAGCTAGTACAACTAATAAAAATGAGATTACAACAACGAAACATCCTGAAACAGCAAAAATAAACATTTAAAATATTGCTGAGTTAAATTAAGATAAGTATCTATACTTTTATAGGACAAATGCATAGTCAATTAAATTGGAATTTTACAGTCTTGGATGAATACTGTTAAATGCTTTATGATATCATTTAAAAGCCTTCCCTTTACGTAATAATGAGATTAAACTAATTAAATGGCAAGAAATCAATGATTGCCTTTATAGAATATATGTACATAATAAAATTGACTAAAACCAAATGTCTTTTGAATGTTGCACTTCTTAATGAAAGAGAAACATATTAAAATAAAGGCAATTTTTATTAAATCTGTTAAAATAAGATCCTGCACTTAATTTTTGAAATGGCAATAATACAATCTGACAATATTTGAAAATAGCGTGGGAAATGGTTGTCAGTTTCGCCAACTGTTCTGTATTCTTTTAATAATATTTAAAATTTTACAAGAATTAAATAAGTGGCCAAATAAAATGTTTTCTAAATCACTTGCTAATAAGTCAAATTAGTTTTTATTAAAATATGTTAAAATACGAAGAGCAAATAAATTTCTTTGTGTTGGTACTCATAAAAAATAGATAATTCTATGGATATGGCGTATAGATTCTATGAAGTTGTGTGAATCTAACACCAGTTATAAATAATCCACTAATTCAATCTTTGTTTATCAATAAACTGTGCGTTGTTTGCGGCTTGTAAATATGTAACTATCATATTTGTGCGTCCACTAGTCAATTGTGATCTTATCTATGACTACGACCATACACTGTGGCGC